AAATAAATAAATAAATAAATAGCTCAAGGTGATAAGGGGACCGGCAGTTGAATTTTCCCCCTATGATATGAATATACCTTAGGTTTATATTGAATTCTGCAAAACCTTGCTTTCCCAAAAGGTAATCTCATCCAGACCGAACTGGATTGCAATTTCGACCTACCCTGGTCTCATCAGCACTTCCAGCTGGACTCGAACCTGGAAAATGCTGCGCATAATCTCGGCGCATTAGCCGCTACGCCACATTGCCACGAGTGATCTTGGATCAAAGGGCCGATTCAAATTTAAAGAAGGGCAAGAACTTTGCTTATATGACTGATTTGCTGGTAGTCCCGAAACCCCACGTATGAACGAAAAATAAGTAATTCAGTAATATGAGATGAATTCACCCTATTTTGTTTAAGGTGATGAACGACTGGTAGTAGAATTTTTCCACAATGATGTGGGAAGAGCTGACGTTTCCATTGAATTTCGCAGAGACTTACTTTCCCAAAAGTTGTTCTCATCCCGGCTGGGGTGGACTGACGTTTCGACCTCGCATCGGTCTTATTAACACCCCCAGCGGGAGTCGATACGTGACAGTGCAGAATGGGAGCTTGACACGCTAACCACTCGGCCACATTGTCATGAGTGCCCTTGAGTCACAAGGAAGATGTGAATATCGAGGAAGGCCAGACCTTTTGCAATATCACAATCTTTTGTGGGATTGTCGATGACTGCAAAAACCGGACTATCTTCTACCGCTCGGAGCTCTTTTGCAGCACGATCGACCGAAGCATTATAGTGGGGTGTGGAAGTGACGTCTGCCCGAATAGGCTGTCACAAGATCGACATGAGGTCAGATCATGTTTTGGGTCGTGTCGATGTGTTTTATTGAGGGAGTCGAGGCGAGGTAGAAGGTGAGGAGAAGTGCCGACTTGATAGCCACTTGATTATGCCACACTTCAGCCCGTACTTCGACCGATTTCACATTCCCCCGCTCCCTAGAAGGCTTTCACACACGCACATTCCCGCCAACCCCACTAGTCCCACCCGGTCCACCGGCTGAACGACGAATAACACCACCCAGCCTGCCTACAAACCCACTTTACTTCACACAAACGTCAACACTTCGTGCCCCTACCTAAGACGAGTCGGAGCACAGGACCGAGCTTTCTGCGTCGTGGCCGAGGCTGCTTCTCTCGTGGCAGCGGGTCAAATGGACCCAGAGCCGCTGTCCCCACGAAACATTTGAAAAAAATCGCCCCACACGAGGGAGTGATGGCCTCGGAGACGCGGAGCCCACTTGGCCGAATTCGGGTGGCCCGAAAACTGCAGAATGCCCAATCGACTCCTCTCAACAGTTCTCCCGTCATCTGTACCAGCACCCCAAAACCCCTCGACTATCTCGCGTCCCCCTCAACATTTGGTGGCGTTATCACTGCACTGAAATGGTTGCCGGGCCTACAAAGAATATAACAACAAGTCATCGCGCCTCAGACAACACTAGCTTTCTGGATGACCTCTCGTGAACGCGGTCAAGACAGACGAGTCTGGCAACCCAACGGCTTCGGCCCTACTCGTCTTTCACACACTTATTTTGTTTTCCTATCCCATAGTTAGAATATGAACACACCAGTTGTAGAAAGGGTTTTTTAAGACACACAGAAAGACATGCATACGTGAGGA